CTAACAAGGAAGGTCGTTCAGGGTGTGCCAAGCTTTTTCAAAATGGTTTCTTGCATGACATTGGGGCACATATGGGGACCACAGAAGCATGGTTCATTTTTCCTGAACGGCTCTCTGAATACCAGAAAAGGGGTCCCTAGTTCGATTCCTCGTGGTGACAAGTTTTTGCATTTCGTGTTGACGTTTCCAAATTCGCGCAAAATGGAGTTAGCATGAATAATTAGTACCAAATTCATGATTAGGAACGTCAGTAACCCTTACAAATAGACTTTGATTGAAAAACTGGTGAAAAAGGTGTGACTAGGGACCCCCTTTTTCTCATTGCGTAGAAGGGCGCTTTTAAACCCAAAATTAATCAAAATGTTCTGTGGCAGTCCCCGGTATTGCCCTTTATCTCATGCCCCAAAAACTGTTTCGAACACAAAGCTGGCAACACGCACGACCCTGAAAGACTTCCTGTCAGAACTCACACCCGGCTTACGAGCATCTGCAATGAAGGAATGCGCTCTTAATTGATTTTTGCTCGTCTATGCAGAACCCAGCAAGCATTTTGATGGGGGTAGTCTCCTATTATCAGAGTAAGTGTGAAAGCGCATACGATGTCTAAAGGGCGGAGCAGTTTTGATGACGTTTCCACGCGTCATTGGTGAAGGCCCAACCACACCCTCTAGCGCGAGGGCATAGTTCGCTAGTGTGGCCGATAACGCGGTAAAAACCGGTCCGACCTCCAGCCATCAGGTTCACTGCTTTGTTACACTTTGGGGACACGACCCATATGTGGGCTACGTCTGCGGACCCTATAGGGCTAAACCATCAGGCTCAAATGTGCGCGGTCTCCAATGTGTTAAAGGAAGTTATGTGTGCTTTCAGAGTAGCTCACGTCTACTTCGAGAGCGATATGAATGGCTCAGGAAGCGGCTTCGAGCTCAAGTATCGATCGATAAAACGTAAACCTTTGATTTTTTTTGCTGGATATAATTGAAGTGATCGATGATCGATAGGTATAAAAACTAATATCTTTTGTAGCCGATTGCGGTGATTGGTTGGTGGCGACGAGTGAATCGCAGTCCTACACATATCAGAGCAAACAGAATAAAGGTTAGTTTGAGGTTGTTTCCGGTAGGCCTTGTTCTGCTCTGCTTTCGGGCTTGGAACGAACTTGGAAACGGTATGGTGTGATGGGTGACAGGGATGAATTAAGAGATTTGATCTCCACTGGTAGCAGACAAGCCGATAAACTCTCTTCCCTAAAAGCTTCCACTACTCGGGGGAGGAGGAGTGGAGCAGGGTCAACCCTGCGTTGCGCAAAGAACAACGAGGGGGTCGTATTCAGCCGACCGAAAAGGGAGGGGGTCGTATCCACAGACGGGCTGCAAGACGGCTTGAAAAGTGCAGTGTCCGGGAGTGCACTTTCAGCCTCTAATGTTCTCCAGGAGCTCTGCACGCTGTCGGAGAGTCACACAGACATGAGCTCCATGGGAGCATTAAAGCATGCAGAGCACTATAAGTCTCACCATCAGCTTATTATCCTTAATCGACGCTATCCGGACGGCGCTTTTGCTCCGCGGCATAGATCAAGAGTACAATAGACAATAGCCAAAAACTTTGTTACAGTGTAGTGCAAAAACATGGTCTGTCTTCGATGATGAAACATTCCTGAAATCCCGAGGAGAACAAAGTGTAGAGCAGTTCATGGGAAAGTGAAACAAGAGTGCCATATAACAGCACAATACAACTCAATCAGGATACTAACACCTTCTTCAGGAAAACAGAAGACTTTCAAAATGCGAGTGCGAACTCTGCCCACAGATAGGTGCACGGCGTATACCCGAGGCGTTTTCCCATAAAAACGCCTCCTCTGTCAGCGGCCGTAAGCAGACAAACTTTCTGAAGAGAGTTTCGATGCTTTCAAATAAAATCTAAGCGAAACAAAGTGTAGCGAATTTGCTGAATTGAGTTCTAGAGACGCCGTAGGAAAATTGAGGCAGAAGAAGGAATTTCAGGGAAATTTCACAGTTGTTATGAAGTACTCTTCGAGTGGATTCCAACAATCTTTACCGCTTCTCATCACATTAATTTCAAAGGAAGTTATGGGCCTTTAAAGACTGCATAGTCGCGGTCCAGGAAAAGGCTTGAAAAAAATCAAGGTGGAATTGACGGAACAACGGGACTATTTTTTGAGCGAGTGATTATTTCAAGAAGTTTTAGCACTTATTCGAAAGCTCTAATCTTCTAGTTTCTAATTAGCCTTAGACATTGCAAAAAGTTGATTATGAAGAAAGTTATGAATGTTTGAATGTCAAAAACTCGCGTGTGCACAGAAAACGGAACAACGGGACGATTTTTTGAAATATTGAACATCCACAACATTTCAAATACTCCTCAGGAAGAAAACTATTTATATTTTTAAAATTTTGGTGTCCGATTTCATGAAACAGCTTCTGAAAGAAAATATAACCTTCTGAATGAGGGGTTTGGATTGCAATGTAATTGCTACAAGGTTTAGTTTTTCAGATTATAAGGTAAGGAAAGTTGAGAGATCGAAAAAATCCTGGTGGGTTTCTGAAAGTAGAAATCTTTACGATTAAAATGATGTATTGGTTTACGCAAAAATTTGAAATTCCTTCTATTTAATGAATAAAACTTCATTTGCCTCGATTTCCTCCTCTGAGCGAGACAGAGCGCGCGGATTGACCACGGTCCACCACTTCTCCATGTTGGTGACTGCCATCATTGATGAGCATTAAATTATGTGAAAGACATGATAGTTAATATGGGGGGTCGTACCGATACCCCCCGAAAAGGAAGGGGGTCGTAAAAATTTGGGAATTTGCGCAACGCAGGGTTGACCCTGGTGGAGGGTGGGGAGTTAAACTCACCCTGATCCAAACAAAGACATTCTCGAGGGGGAAGAAACTCGATATTACTCTCAGGGTTAAATTTCAAGTCTCGCATCATTTTTAGATAAACACAACGGTCAAACCAATCAACGATGCCAATGGATTATTCAGTCAAAGTCGCAAACACCGATATGGTTACAGTTCAGGTAGCCACCAGTTGATTTTGTGCGGTTGTAGCAGGAATCGCGTACCATCAAGGCGTCATTTTTGTTTTCAGCACTCTGAAGTTCCCTTCAGCTGATGGCGATTGTTCCTGATGCGTTCATCGAAATTCCGCGACGTGGGCCTGATCTCCAAATGCCAACATCCAGCTTGTGCCAAGGAAAGCAGCGACAGAAAAGTGAGGAAGTTTCATGAGGCAGTTGTTGTGGTTTGGCGAGAATGAAGTCATTAGCGCGGAAAGGACTGCGCTCAGTTTTATGGGAGCTCACGGAGTCCAAGAAACCCCGTTCGAGCAGGTGGCGATCTCGGAGTCCGTTCCTGACCGTCGCCCCGTTTCCCTTGCTGAATCTCTCGGAGAACAGAGAAGATACTTACGGGTTCCATCCCTTTAATACACATTCCCCCACTCCCCGCCCCTCAATTGCACGACTAATTACGCGGACTTGGCACCTTCTCTGGTCTGCATTTGTAACTCGAGGTTCAAACCTTCTCAATAAATTCTGACTCGTCTGGATTTTCAAGGAGTTTCGAAGTGACGAACATCCTCGCAAAAGAATAAAGCATGTGCAGCTGTTTATTCCCTTCAGGATGCACCACGCATTCTGTCATACTTCTATTATTCCTAACTTTGTAGAGATCTTCACACGCGACTTAACCTTTACAAACGGCTGGCCCTCACCATTAGTGGTTTTTATTGAGACTGCATCAACTAAGCGAAGCCAGAAGGAGTGAAAGCTTATTTTCCCAGGTTGGGGCGCGTGCGATTGGCCAGCGCCACCTACCTGCTGCAGCATCCCCTCGGAAGGGTAATTTGGTAGTCATTGGGCCAA